TTTAAACAACCTACGAAGAATGATAGAAGCCAATAGTTTGGACGCAATCGGAAGTAGACTTATCCCCCGATAGTTATTGCAGGAACAACGCGAACCCTTTTTAAAGATAGGGACGACTATTGACTCATTCCATGATGTTGGAACACTTTCTTGCTCCCAAACCTTTCCAAACAACACAGTCAATTCCTTAGTCAGAAAGTCGCCACCATCTTTAAAAAGAGCCGGAGGTAAGTCATCTGGGCCAGGTGATTTGTAGCGCTTCAAGAGTTGGAGTTCCTTGCGGACTTCCGCCTCGTTTGGTGGATCAGTCGTCACCGGCCATGGGGGGCAGGACAAGCTGGTTGATGTTGCCGGAGCAGCAGGCCAGTTGAACTGTCCTTCGAAAAATTCCGCCCATCGTCCAAGACATCGGGAGATGTTAGTGATTGGCATCCCATCATCCTCGTAGATTGTTTCACTCACACCAGACTTCTTGCTGCCAGTGGCTCGGATGAGTTGGAAGAGCTTGCAACAGTTACCAGATGCAACTGCTGCTTCCAACTTATTGACACGCTCCAACCACCAGGCTTCTCAGTCGTTACGCAAGCTTTGCCCAATTTCATTACGTAACAGCCTTCGTTTGTGGTCAAACTCACGGTCACCCGGAGTAGACCGACGGGCTTCCATCAGTTGTAAGGAGCCAGAAGAAACCCAGTGCTTGTAAGCGGGACGTTTCGCGAAGCCGCAAGCGGCTTTACTCGCCATTTTCATGGCGTCGTGAAGATGCAACCAATGCTCATCTATACTTTTCGGTGGGGTGTTAGCTAGCCTAGAGGCTAGCTCCGCTCGGTACTTACTTGCAACAGGAGTTGCAGCCAGTTTACTAATATCAATCCGTTGGTGGTGGTCAATCCTTCGGCCACTGAAAAGTAAGGTGAGATTGGCGCAGACCAGGGCATGATCAGACTCCAGATAGGTACTCCAAAAGGAGCGGCAGTCTTGTACACAACCACGCCAGCGGTAGCTGATCGCGATGTGATCAATCTGAGTCCAGGCTTGGGATGCAGAGGGAGGACGCCAGGTGGCACACCGGCGATGACTGTGCCGGAAGTTAGTGCTGGCCAGAAACAGGTTGTGGTCTGTGCACAGTTGCAGCAAACGGTCCCCGTTATCTGTCCTGCGACCAACAAGTCCCCATCGGCCACCTAGACGACTCTCTTCTGTGCCTAGACGCCCGACCTGTGCATTCAAGTCTCCGGCTAGTACTACAATATCTGTCGAACGCGCTTTCTGGAGAAGAACTGTTAACTGATGGTAAAACTCATCCTTGATTGCATCCGGGCTGCAATCTGTCGGGGCATAGGCGGAGATGACGAAAAGACACCGATTCTCACGCCGGTTTCTTCTCACTTTGATGGAACTTTCTAATCTAACAGCACATAACCGACTGTTAATGGGGAACCAATCGATTAGTGCTGCCTCAGCCCTAGCGCTTAGTGCGACACCAACGCCAGCAAGACCAGACGAAGATGCCACAGGGTCCCCGGATAAGCGCACGTGGAACAAGCTTTTCGAGACAGATGGAGAGCGGATTTGTAGTACTTCACTAGAGTCTTGAATACGGGTCTCGGATAGACAGCAAACATCAACATTAAGACCTTCCAAAGACATAGCCAGCCCTATCTGTTGTCTGATCTGCATTACTGTGCGAACGTTGAAGGAAGCCAGCTTGAACGGCGTACGCGGTTTCAGAAAGACTGCCTCAGTATTCATTATCGGTGGAAGCATTCACTTTCAACCAGACAGTGACTGGAGATCGTTTAGATAGGACAGATTTTCCACCAAGAGCGAGCTGATGCATAAGTTGAAGAGTAAGGTTACACAAATTGGGGGTAAAAGGGGGTGGATTAGCGATATGGTAAGTAATAATAATAATAATAATAATAATAATAATAATAATAATAATAATAATAATAATAATAATAATAGTAATAATAATAATGATAATAATAACGTAAATTGTCTTGCTTATAATATGAGCAGGAATAGAATCGTCAATAGAGTTCGTCATTTCATTCATTTGTGTGTGGGCTGTGATACTGCCCGGGTGCCCAAACCGAAGCAGGTGGTTTTCTTAGGGGGCCACACCCGGAGCCTTTGACCTAAAGGTCTGATCCACAAGGCAGTGGAGCATCGTGAGGAGATGCAGTCCCATGGTAGTCGTTGACCAATGACAGGTTCTTCCGCCATTCGTTCCATCAGGAAACTGGAGCCCATGTGCACCATTGGTTTGGAATCAGGGTTTTCCAACTCCCCTAGGTGGACCCTCCGTGTCCACCAATCCGGTTATAGCGCCGGACATTCGCTTTTCGTCCTCTCACTTTCGTAAACAACACCCCCGCCACGAGAAGGCAGTGAGTAGGACTTCCCTGGCAGAGGCTATATATTCGCTGGCCATATGAGAGCATTTCGAGAGGGAGAGTAGACTCTCCCCACTCTCGGCCGTACCAGGGCATTTGGGGGGCACAACTCACATGTCTGTCTAACTGTTTTGCCAGTTGTTCCTGAAATATATTCTTAGCTTGCTTACCATTAAGTAGAACCCTTAGAAGCTTCCCTGCAGTGTCTTTCCTACGTCCAGTAAGACGCTGACAGATACGTGCTCGCACTAGAGCATGATCTGAGTCTAAACATGTGCTCCAGAATGAGCGACAGTCTTCTATCGAGCCCCTTCATCGGTGGCTGATAGCTATGTGATCTAATTGGGTCCAACGTTGGGACGAATTCGGGGGTCGCCATGTCAAAATATGTTTTTCCTTATGCTTAAAGTTAGTATTTGCAAGAAATAGGCGGTTATCTGAGCACAGCTGCAACAGACGATCGCCATTATCTGTCTCTTTAGCCACGATACCATAAGATCCTCCCAGGTGTCTTTCCCTTTCACTTAGTTTACCTACTTGAGCATTAAAGTCACCAGCCACTATTACTACATCAGAACGCCTAGCTTCTCGGAGGTCAGAAAGTTTCCTGTAAAACTCATCTTTTATATCGTCTGAGCTGCAGTCAGTGGGAGAGTAGGCAGAGACGAAGAAGAGGCGACGACGGGTTTCCCTATCTTTCCGAGTCCTTACTGATCCGTTTAGTTGGACAGCACATAGACGACTGTCTACTGGGATCCAGTCTAAAAGAGCTAGTTCTGCCCTATGACTTAATGCTATACCTACTCCAGCGAGGCCACGGGAAGCAGCATCAGGGCTTCCAGATACACGAAGCCTGTATCGAGTTGGTTCTTTATTAAGGTATGGTGAGGTCAAATGAATGACACTACTCGGATCTTGTATGCGCGTTTCGGAGACGCAGCACACATCGATGGTGTAAGATTCTAGAGTCCTAGCTAAGGATGCCTGTTGTCCTATTTGGCACAATGTTCGGACATTAAGAATTCTTATATGTAGTTTGGAGCGTGGTTTCAGGAGACCAGGAATAACGTTCCGTGTACTTGAATCGTTTGCCCTAGCGTTGCGAGGAGATAAAAGGACGTGGGAAGGGTTAGTCGTGGAGATAAGAGAGTTATTAGGAGGTGTAGGAAGGATTTGAAAGCGACCAACTTGGTCTCGTGTGCTGTTACGAGTATGAGGGCTAATATCACTTCCCGGCTGCCCACACCGTGGAAGGGTATTTCTTGAGGGACCTGAAAAAGAAGTTGGATTAGTGTTGGTCTTAACGACCTGAGAGCGTGACCGCAGTGCCCAAGGGACAACTGCTTGAGGTCGGTCACGCACGGCCTTTTTGTGGGGGATTTTTGACGTGTTAGCTCCGCTCTTCAAAGGACCTTACCGTCGGAGACGGAAATCCGTAGGTTAAGGCGAGGTGTGCATTTTTAGGGTCGACCTTTTTTAACCCCACCCCTCCTTGTGGGAAGGCAGCATCGCTGTCATGCTGGTTGTCTGAAGGAAACACCTTACTGCCGTCACACCTCTGTACAGTCGGCAGTATGACTTCGCCTTTGGACCTTGGGATTGCTGCTTTTAGTCCTACCGCTCTTCAACCAACCTGTCTGACATGGTAGAACTTTGAGAAATGATTGTTCCAGCCAGCATAGCTCGATTGGATCATCACGATAGGCAAGACCGACCACCACGTCAAGGTAGCAGCAACGGTCGGACGTTAAAATAAAGCCCGGCACACGTGTATTGGGCCAAGTCTCCATACCTAGTTATCACAATCAGATAGTAGCAAAAGAAAGCGAAATAATGTTTTGGGAATGATAATATGAAAAATCAGTGGTATGTATAAAAGGATATTGTAATTCAAAATCGAAAGTAAAAGAGTGAATGTACCTGGGTCTCTGCAAGCGATTTTGAACCATGCTACCTAAGGCCACCAATTATCGGTCGCCGTTATCACGCAAACCTACCAAGTAGTCTCCACCTTCCTACGTATTTCAGACCAACAGTTAATGTCTTCATGGACTGATGCAACCTTTCAGTTTGGCTAGCTCTAGCTTTCTTCCAACCTACTAAACTAGCAAGCATTGCTTTTGGAGGTAGGCGAAGGTTAGACTTACGTAACACCTATCTCAGTCACCTCAGTTGATAAAGATGCACTACCTTTATCACGTAACGTATGCCTAACCTCAAGATTGTTCACTCGACTATTCCAAGAAACTTTAACAAAGTTTCAAAGACACCTATAATTAAAAACTTTCAGCCTACCCATTTCTTCTACCTTCATATACCATGTATCACACTTATAAGGCAGGATAGAGCGAACTGTTGCACCGTATACATGCCCGTTGATAGAGAATCAAACCCCTTGTCTACGTCAAATATGCAGCTAGTTGTCAAATGCCAACTACCAAAAATTGGTACATAATGTTGTATTCAGTTTATTCGTTGTTTAAAATAAATTAGATCTAACTGTTAATGTTTTCATGGGTTCATTTTTCTCCGATTATTTGTCTGTGTTTTTATTGTTATGTCTTGCTGATATACGTCGTGTTATTTACTTATACTATCTAGCAAAAGAAGACTGGTGGGTTAAAAATCACATCAATGGTTCCCTTAACAAAGATAAACGAGAAAATGACTCAAATGATACTACAAGAATATAGTATCCTTTTTTAGTCAGTATTTTCACTCTTTTAATTCTTCTGATTTTTAGTATACAACCGCTAATATATAAAATTGTATTGTTGGACAGTTTTAATTCGTGACAAGTTGAATTGTCCATCCCCTTCACATCCATGACAAGAGAAGTCACAAAATTAATTATTGTGTTTATAGCTATGTGACGGTATTTTTCTGGTCGTCTGCCATGTGTCACTATTTGATCTGTAAAATGAATTCAATAGCTGCGAGAACATCGCTCAGCTTTTATGAAGACTTCGATTCACTTAAATAACTCCCAAATGAATTAAAATTTTATTTTGCAAGATTGTCAGATTAATTAGGACGCTCTTAGCGTTGTACTTTAATTCAGAATACCTATAGTATTTATTAGCGCATCGTATATAAATCTATCACGAGAACTTTCTTGCCTGATAAATAATTTGTCTTAAATAGCTTCATGTTCACTCATCTAAAATTTAGAATAAACATGATTATTCAGTTCAAGTGAATATAAGACAAGAAGGCTTTGGGGGGGGGTATTCGGACACTTAGAAAATAGGTAACCTAAACGTTCGAGTATATCCCCAATCATAATTAGAGTTATTTAAGCAAAGTAAGTTGTGTATTACATTTACGATCCCTATAAATATCTAGTATGATCCGTTTTTGTATTTCTGTTCACCTCAACTTCATGTTGCCCATTATGTAGAAATATTTAATGCAGAAGTTATCTTTCGAGAAGATTCTACACCGGATGAATTTATCGATGTAGTAGTTGGCGGTCGAGTATATCTGGCTTGTCTTTATGTATTTTGATCTCATTTCTTTAAAAAATTCCGGATTTAGGTGTATAATAAAATTGATCAAATATCACTTCAAGAAGTTGACAGATTAGCAAGACAGCCTCATTCAGTTGTTGTTAGGTTAGTTTAAACCTTTATTTAAGAATTGTTGTTTATGCACGGGTTGATACTTTGTAATATTTTTTTCAGAGTTTCCTTGCTCTCTTTTAATGGGGCAGCTTGATCTGTTTTAGTAGTATATTTGATCTTATAATGTTCTAGTTGGTTTGTGGAATTGACGGTCAAGTTACTGTTCATTTGTTCTTCACCTTTATATATCAATAAAATATCCTGTCAACCTCATTGTTGAGTAACAATCGTGAATCTGCTGCTTATTTGTTTGAACTGTATAAAATTTGCTAAGCACTTATATATGGTTCATAAATGTATAGCTAATAATAACCTAACCCAGGACATTTGCAGTTTCCCAACTAGCTCATGCGAGTTCTTAGTTTGGTCACTCTAAGAGCTTGCTTCACTTCATACCTACCCCAACTGTCATCACGTGCCAACACATATATTGAGCATGCATGCTTCTAAGCACTTCAGTTTTCAGAAGTTCAATTTCATAGATAAAAATACTCATCCAAAACGTCTACGTGATATTCTAACGCTTATTAAGTAGTACTTTTGAGACGACAGATTGGTGCTCCATAGTATCCATTTCTTTCTTTTAAATAATCCTATATATATATATATATATATATATATATATATATATATATATATATATATATATATATAATATCTTCTTCCTAATAAATACAGTAAAGCAGTTGTGTTCATGCATATGTACAATGTATTTCTGTTACCAAATACATTTCTATATTACTTCATTTTTTATCTAGTTGCAATCTAAAGCTGAATTTGGATTATTTGCTAGAAAAACTGTGGGACCATTTAAATTTAATTCAAGTATTCACTAAAAAACGTGGACGTAAGAATCAGTTAATGATTTTTGACTTCACTTAATTTAATGTATTAGAAAAACCAGACCTTGATGAAGGAATTGTTTTACGAAACGGTTCAACAGTTGAACATATCGTAAGTTTCATTGTATTTTTTCCTGACAAAACTGGTAGTGAAGTTACTTTCGAGTCTTTCGATAAGCTCCAGGGATCGTAGTGATAAATGTTCGTTGAATGTTGTATCTGATAAATCACTAAACTTCGACACTTTTTCTGCCTTAATGACAGTTTTTCGGATTCAGTGTCACTGTCTAGCATTCTAATGTTTAAATTATAGGTCAAAGACTTACACTTAAAAGTATGGCCAAATATTAATGACCCCATTCATCCACTACATTTTTCTGACAAATCAAGCCAACTGTTTCAAATACTTACTTTCCAATAAGAGTATAAGCTTATTAGTTGTATTGAATACCATAGGTGGGAACAATTCATGGGTCTTTTTCACTTCATTTATCATGTAAGTCTCATCATCCCTGAAGAATTATCTGCTAATGAAATACATATGCAAACGCAAATAACTTGTCATGTGTTCCCATATCTGAAAGCTTGTATGGTGATCAGTTGTTATCACTTTATTACTCAACGTCTGCAAAACATAAATGTGAGGTTTGAAAACATGCGTAGGTCGCAAGTTTTTAATCATAGGTGCCTTAGAAGTTTATTGGCATATGGTTGCATTAAAGAGTAAGTATAAGTATTGTCAAAGTTAAGTGCAGGGTACAGTAGAAAATGGTAGTTTGGTTGTCGGAAATATAAGCTCTCATGTCACTAGATGGTTGTTTCACTTTTTGTGCATATCCAATCACTACCTACATCGATGCCTAATTCTAACCGGTGAAGAAATAATTTTAAAGGCCGGTTTATAAGGTCACTGACCTTTGGTCCCAGTTGTATTGGAAGATGTAGACTTCTTAATTTGGGTCCACCTAATAGTCGTCGTCTATATTTGAAGACGTTTGATGACATATATTGAGATTAGGCATAATAATGTACACACGATAATCTTTAACTTTCGAACTTACCATTATACGTAAATTTTCATTCCTCTATCTCAGTCGTTCCTTTTAAACTAGATTTTTAATGCTTAGTTTTCCAACTCAATGAATATGATTGGTTCTGCTCTTTTGGTTTTCAACTTGCAAATTTCCTTTTTTTTTGAAGTGTAGTCAGATGAACTGAACCACATTTGTCCCAGATCATCCACACTCTGTAACTGGTTGGTGTGACAAATAATAATATGTGTTAAACCTTAGTTCATATTTTGTTGCTGAGTGTGTTCAATTCAATTGTTCTCATAAGCAGTTTGCCATAAATTTTTTCCATCCTACTTCTTGTTACGATCTTTTTCTTCTATTTCATCTAGTGCCATTCAATTCACAGATCTTTAGCATCACAGTGTAAATGTGCTCTTGTGTGGGTAAGAATAGTCGAAATTCCTTTTGTTTACCTTTTCATTTATTAAATGGATAAATTCATATATTTTATTTATCGTAAAAAATGAATTATTTATCGGTCATTTATTCTCAACGGTATATAATAGCCGAAGTTAAAGTAGCCTGAGTTGTCTTAAAATGTTGGAAAATGTTTGTAGCCCAACCTGTGAATATCTGTTTCTGTCAAATAAAGTAACATGAACTCTCCTGAAGACTTTCATTCCAAACAAGTAAAGCTGATAATAATGAAAACTAAATGCTTGAATAAAATAACCAGTTATTCAAAATCTAAAGGAAGGCTGAATGCATCACTATGCTTGATGATTTGTTGATTCCATCTAGAGACATAAACTGTAGACTTAACACTTCTACGAACCGGACAAATTCCTAAGCAAACTAAAGTCAGTATGAAAAAAGTTTAAATAAAAAATGTACATCACTCCGTTAAACTACGTTTTTTCTCCTTCCTACTTTTTTAAGGGAACAAGTGTTAAATTCAGTCCACAACATGTTGGGTTGAATCACGTCTTACATCATCATGATGTTGTGCAAATTGTAAAGAAATAATGATTAAATGGATTAATATTTCAGTATGTTATTGCTAATTGATTTCTCCATGTCTTTCTCTATTGATAAATATATTGAGTTTTTGGATGCTATTTGGTTTTACTGTTATCATAAGAAGGGACACTTTCAATAGACTACATTGACCTATTTCTGTACTGAATAAATCTTGCCAGTTACATTGTAGTTCATAAATTCAGATATCCTGTTAATAATCGTTTAAGCTGTCCACAACCTAGGAGTTATAAGGTTCATTGTTTTTTTCCTTCACTATCTATACACGGAAAGATAACTAATCCATAACTTCAAATCAAGCTAGTCTGTAAGGACTAATACTCTGACCTTAAGTAATCCTCTGTAAACTACTTTTAACAGAACATTCACTCACATGGATTTCGCTTCTAAAATAGGTCTAGATTCTGTTATTCTCAACATGCTGTTTACTGATACTTTTTTAATTGTTTATTTGACAGTTGTCTAGCTAACATCACTATAATGTCACGTAAGCCAGTTGATGTGTATTTGGTGTTCGTTAAGTTACTCAGTTGTATGGCATAAGCTACCAAATTAATATATAAATTCAACGGAAACTTACTATGCTTGGAATAACTTCCTCTAACTATCAATGAGAGCTTGATTTTGTTTTCACATTTGGTCAACCTGTCGATCTTAACGGGAATGATTGTCAGCCGAATTAGCAACAGTGTCGAAAACCGCAAATAAAAACCCAGTTCCTAATGCTTGAACGTCAACCTGTAAGTCTGTTAACAGATTATTAGTTGTGAGATGTATCAAAAAGATCACTGTCGCGAAGTTGCTAGCATTGTCCAACCTTGCGTTTTATTGCCAACCTATTTATGGTTACCCTACAAATGATTTAATAAATATTGAACCAATAGCTAGATCGACTAGGAAACCATTAGGTCAAGCCACAAAGTATCACTACTCTCAAAATTTCCGAACTGGATAGCTACTACTTGGTTACGCTATTAATAATATTAACAAGAAGACACTAAAATCCTGATGGCGTCCTGTAAGTCTTAGCTGGCCAATTGATGTAGTTTGAGGAAGCTTGGTAAATGTTTTTGGTACGGTGGTTAAGCTTCGACTAGATGTTGGGAATACAAATACTAAACCTACAAATCCACTAAAGAATCTAGGAGTATAGTCAGACTGGTTACGAATCAACTTTTTTATCGCCTTGACGGTAACATTGCGCAAGTGGTGTGTGTAGGTTCCATTAACATTAGAGAGAATTAGATGGAAGTACCATGGGTGGATGTATTCAGAGGAGCTGCTGCGTAGCGTGAGGGGTTCTACAGGTCGATCAAACAATGGATACTTTGAGAGTATTTCCTGTGTTTCTATTTTTTTCTCAAGTTTTGCACTTGTGTTACCATATTTCTACATTTATTTGACTAAATATTGATTGTACGGCTTTAGTTGAATATCCCACATAATTTCGTTTTGCTAATGTATGTTACCAGAACGTTGACATTAGAATCGTATTTGACTAATGTTAAGATTATGCATACTCAACTCGTTCATATCCGACATCTGGGCCAACACCAGCTGTTATTCATACTACTTTACCTTTTATAATCAACTGTTAGGTGAGGTTATTTCAGGTACTTTTGAAAACTGAAAAACAGAACTGTTCGATGAGACTGATGATAAATGTGATCTATGTGCGACACCATCACATACCCCTCTACATTCATGTACTGGTTAGAGAATCTTGCTGTCGCCCCTGGCGAACGGTTTCATGGGTGGTATTATTTCAACAAAAAATCCCTATATAATCAGTTAGCGAACTAGTTTTGGTAGTTATGTACCGTGAAAGAACTCTGATCAAGAAGTTTTAGCCTAAAATATCTCCTCTGTATTACAAGTTCGTAGTAAGGGAAACTCGGGAATATTTGTTGATTACCTACTCCAAGCATATAGAAATCGACACCGAGTATACCAAAGAAAGGAGATTTGAGCATCATACTACTGTCAGTACCAGGAAAAGTTTTCAACAGTGTTGTTGAACCGGATGAAAGATCCAGAAGACACTCAGCTCCGAGATCAACAGATAGAGTTTCATAGAGAGCGGTAGTGTACAGATGAATTCGAGACGCTGCAGTCAATTATTGAGCGATCGTCTGAAAGAGACTTATCACTTTACATCAAATCCTTTAATTATGAAAAGGCATTCGACAGCGTGGATAGGAGGACTTATGGAACCTTCTTGTACACTACGGTGAACCTGAGAAGATCGTCAACATAATCCGGGATTCATACGACAGACTACACTGCAAAGTGGTGCATGGAGGAGAGCTGTCAGACGAATTTCAAGTAAGGACAAAAGTCAGACAAGCCTGCTTACTCTCCTTTCTCTTTCTCCCGGAGGTTGACTGAATTATGAAGACCTTCACACTTCAGAGGAAGCACGGGTTACAACGGACAACTCGAATTCAACTAGACTGAAGGATACAACGGATATTCTAGTTTTACAACTAGCTACCAGTAGCACCTTCTATATTCGATCGTTCCCAGTCAGATAGAAGTCAGACGAGAAGAGGCAGGAAAGATATATTTGATTCGTTACCAATATATCGAGGACCTTTTCTATAAGCTGGCTAATGATACGTAGGAGCTGTGTCCCACGCCGAGTTGAAACGTCATCTGGTACGGATGCATGACCGAAAGCCTTCAGCTAAACAAGTCCACTTAAACAACGTGGTCAGCATCCAATGTCGAACACTTAATGAACTATTGATTTTGGGGAATTATTTACAGCTACAGATCACTCCCCCCCCCTAGTGAGGTAGTGATGCCCCTAAGACGTGACCAGCCAGAAGTTTAAACCCAACGAGTTTGTCGTTGGTAAACACTCTTCGTTTAGCAGCGTCTGGTCGTCTTTCCTTAAACTATGGGACCAAAATGTACAACATAGCAATAAAGAAATATAGTGCAATGAAAATTTCGGTTCCTTGCGAAACTTCGTCGTTCTTTTCCAGCCGTCCTGGAAAACAGGAAAAATAAAACGTGTGAGTGCATGTCGAAAATACACTCGTACTTGCGTAGGGACACAAGATGAGCGGAAAAAAATGAACTAATATACTTACAAACAGCGTAAAAGCGATCAGGAAAAAAGTTATTTTTTTATATAAAAAATATATATATATACGCTCAAAAAAAGATAAAAATGTTTTTTTTTCTTTATTTATATAAATAAAAAAATGAGCATATTAAAAAATTTTTTATAATAAACTATGAAAAGGTAATTCAAGATAAAGCTTATGTCCTACGTGCAATATTCATTAAGATGTTCTGGAAATCTTACTCTTCTTCCAGAACGCGTTGTTTTAGGTTTATCTATCGATGTTGACGAAGTATCAAGTTGTGTGTCGGTTTTCGTGTAGGGTACTACGAGTGTAGTGGCTGTGTCGTTCGCTTGTACGGAAGGAAAATCGACGTAGCTAGGTTTTCCTTCTAAGTACGCTGCTTTGAGTCAATCGATACTGATGCTATCGTTCGTGCCGTTCTTATCGACTACATAGTACTTAGGTTCGCGTTGAAGAACTTTGAAGGGTCCTTCGTATGCTGATTCGAGGGGTCGTCGATGTGAGTCTCGACGAACGAAGACGTGTGTACTATGTCGTAATTCGGGTTGAACGAAAACATCAATTGATTGAGGTCGAGTGTGAGTAGGTTTAACTGAACGCATAGCGTTTGTAAGCCTACTCGTGTAAGAGTTTAGATCCGTGTTCAATGAAGAAGCTGAAGGATCTACAAATTCTCCTGGGAGTCGAAGTGTCTTTCCGTAAACGAGTTGAGATGCCATGTATCCAATGTCAACCTTCACTGCATTGCGGATACCTAGCAAGACGAGTGGAAGAGCGTCTGTCCACTGTGAAACGTTTGAAGCTGATAATGAGGCTTTTAGTTGTCGATGAAAACGTTCTACCAACCCGTTTGCTTGTGGGTGGTAGGCGGTCGTTCGGAAGCGCGTGATTCCTAAAAATGAGGTCAGACAACGGAAAAGTCCAGATTCGAATTGGCGTCCGCGGTCTGTAGTGATCGTGGAAGGGCAGCCGAAATTTGCTACCCATCGTTCGACGAAAGCGCGGGCCACGGTTTCAGCAGTAATGCCCTTAATCGGTACTGCTTCTGGCCATCGAGTGAAACGGTCTACGCATGTTAAGAGATATGAGTATCCGTTGGAGTCGGGTAAGGGTCCTACCAAATATAGATGGACGTGGTCGAAACGAGCGTCAGGGGTTTTGAAAGAACCTAAGGGTCATTTGTTGTGCCTTATGACCTTAGATTTCTGACAGCGTGCACAGGAGCGTGCCCACTCCCTCACGTCTTTATTCATGCCAGGCCAACAAAAGCGTTCGGCTATAAGTTTGACTGTTGCACGAGCACCTGGATGAGAAAGATTGTGCAACGTATTGAAGACGTTGCGTCGATAATGTTTTGGTACTACTAGATTTGAGCATCATACTACTGTCAGTACCAGGAAAAGTTTTCATCAGTGTTTTTGAACCGGATGAAAGTTCCAGAAGACACTCAGCTCCGAGATCAACAGATAGAGTTTCATAGAGAGCGGTCGTGTACGGATGAATCTTGTAAAGCTTGGAACCTGTTGCTGAGAGCTATCGTAAGTTCTTTGAGTTTGTTAGTGTCTCAAAGGAAGGACATTTGCAGTGCCGTTTCTCCATTTGTCCAGTGCTTCTTTAGTTTAAGTTTCGTAGTGGGCACAAGCCGGTGATGATCTGCAGCCATATCAGATCCTATGCTATTGCGCACGTCTTTAGTTAAACTTGTGATGTTTTTGCTGATAAAAATTTGATGTACCTGGTTCTTTCTGGCTTTCTCCGCTGTTGTCGATGTTGCTTTTTGTAAGAATATTGTGCCTCATATAAGTTATTTTTAATGCACATAAATTTGCGAAGCCCTCACTATTTTTGTATTTTTTTTCTAAGTATATGTTGTCTGATGATATTTTCATACTCGGTATTATTGATTTGTCATCCTGTTCCCCTATCACAATTCTCAGATCCTTTCTTGGGCAGTTCGCTCTGAGTGATCGCAGCAACTCGTAGGACTGGTCCCCATCGTCGTCGCTGCTATATTAACAGGCATGATCTACAAGTTACAGCATTTATTGGTTCTCATTATGCATCCCAAGCAGGGTTGTTCAGTAAATATAATCTATAAGAGTGACTATCGGTTCATTCGTTCAAATACACTGTCCAGTCTTCATAATATTTTCTAAATTGGCATCGCGTCCACGTTACACATGAGTACCATTCGCGACAGAATTTCGGTCGTACTAAGTATTTATGCAATGCGACTTTTTAAGTTTATAGTTGTTACAAAGCAGCCTTGCGGAGCACTCGGTGTGACCTTGGGAAAGCGCGTACGTCTAGTTTGTTCTAGATGTCAGAAGTTCCATAGTCTTTCCTTCAGATCAAGATTCTGAAAAAAAGAGAAACCAAGGAGCAGCAAAGCATCTGGATATGAAGGATAAACTATATTTAACACTTAGTAAGGCAACAGGCAGAGGTGTTGTAAATTATTGGATTAAATTCATACTAGCTCTGGTTACTAAAATGAAATGTGACCAGAGACTTCAGATGAGAGAATGCAGTAATAAAGGTGAATGAGTTGTGATATTTATCAAGGTGGAGTAAGTTCAAATGAGGGGAGGGAAGTCAAGGTTGGAGTAAGGAAGGCTGTTTATTAGAACAGAGAGTGCGTATAGAGAGTAATGTGTTAAGGAAACTAACAACTATGTCCTTTATTGCCTGTTCTTTTTTATTCATCCGATGCCTGCCACACAGTTTCAATGTAATAGTTCGAGTTAGCATGTTATATGTTGTCATAATAGAATAGCTGATCCAGCGTGGAATTAAAAACATGAGTCTAAATGGTGGGCGTGGGAAAACAACCTCAATATCACAGATTGATTGACTTGTTCTTAACTTTAAAGAGCCTGATACAAACAGAATGTTTTGCCCCACAAACATGTGGAATAAGTAAGGATTTTGAGGAATTTGAAACAGGGAATCAAATTAGACCTAAGCCCTCTTCCAGAGGGGTTCCAGTCCTAAGATGTCGCATCGGGAACTGTATTCAATGAGTGAGTCGTTCTTAAGTATTTCGCGAGTAATATCTCGTCGTACTCCTTCCACGTTGAGAATATCGGATATATGTTGGTTGGAAAATAAGAACGAGCAGTGTCCTGCGATAGGTCTTACACAGACTTTATAAAGAATGATCCTAGTTTCGTTTTAGAAATTACGAATAATGAAGGCAAGCGATCTCCGCATTTGAGATGCTTTATTTGAGATATGTTCTGAGAAGTTAAGACTGTCTGAGTAATTTACCTATAGGTCAGTTACTGATGTCAGTCTGGGCAGTGTGTTTTTATCAACTACCAGTTTTATTTTGAGAGACCTATCTCCAATGCATAGTAAACTGCGTTTCTCTGTGTTGAACACTAACCGGTAGCGCTTGTACCAGTTGTCTACCATGTTGAGTTCATGTTGTACTGGTTGCATACTACATACGTCGCAAATGTCAGCTTTATAGTTAACTTTTAAGTCATCAGCGTAGAGCTAGGTCTTACCTGTGGTAAAGCATTTGCATATAAGGTTGATGTGGATTATAAAGAGCGGTGGACCCAAGACATTATTCTGCACGCTACCACTGGTTATTGGTAGACGTGTAAATGTTGTAGACTTAGTTTTGGTTACTTGGTATCTGTTTTTAAGAAAAGACAATCCATTACAATAGGGGGTTTGTAATCCCAGCTAACTGAAGTTTGTTTATTAGGAGGTTATGAGGTACCTTATCAAAAGGTTCCTTAATATGGAAATATAGTCGAACCATTGGTTTGTTTTGGTTACGTATGCGAGTAATCTCGTTATAGAGGCCTGTCAGGCATGTATTGCAGGACTTTGTTCTAATGGAGCCATGTTGTGAC